GAGTGGGAGCCAGACTGGGTCGACCCAGAGAGTGAGGTTGACGAGGAGGAGATTGACGTTATAGACGTCCATTTTCCCAGGATAGGAGTAGCGGTCCGGGCGTAGGAGATAGAGGAGCGGACCAGGGCGACGGTTGAGTGAGCCTGGCTACTGAACCTATTCGACCATGCTAGACCTGAGTGCGAGAGTTGTCTGAAGGGTTAGCAACGTCGGAAGATGGGGTGCATCGGAGGGAGTAGAGTGAAGCTGACCGAGAGTACGAGAAGAAATGAGGAGTGATTCAGCGGCCTGGTTAGCTCATGTTCTCTCGCGAGAGTCCGAATCGTATAGTGTGAGGAAGCTTGTGGGACCCAAAGAGACGGCGGTTGGATATGACGTACCACTTTCTGTGGCATTAGAAGAGGCAGGGCGTGTACCGATACGATACTTGGGAACATGGCTCGCTGAGGGGCTCTTCCTATGGATAGTGATACTACGAGACGAACGACCCGAGAGAACTCATGATCTAGAAGGGGTCGGACATCTAATAGCGGATAGAACACACGATTTAGAGATAGGGCTAACGCTCGCAGGGGTGAGCAGGAGTTGGTGGAGAAGCGAGTTGTTGGCCTGAGTGATCGTTAATCAGCAATTGGCGAGACTTGCTGGAGGGAGGACGAGTAGGAGCTTCTTGGTATACGGTCCACCACATCCGACCCTCTACCCGAAAAAGGATTGGCGGTTCGGAGTTCCTACCTTCGTGATAGGGCAGACGTATCGGAGTGTGGATCGTTTGAGGAGAGCAGTGGATCACACACTTTACGCGCTCTGCGAGGGCTTAGCGCCCCGCTTCACGGAAGTATACTACGCCATTTGTGTGAGGTGGGGGCCGCCCAGTAGAGAGACCCTTGACGACATCATAGATGTTACGAGCTGGGTGGACTGTCTGAGGCCTATCGATCTGATTAGGTACTGCAGGAGACGGGCAGAGATCGATTACGCGRGGCTAGAGRAYGCGAGATTTCTCTTCGARRTCGCAACTTAGGGAATGCCGGGAAGGACGGCCACGGTGATGCGTGTAGAAGAGCAACTGGTAAGCACAGGATACACTGTGACAGTACTTCTCCGAGCGTACTTAGATGAGGACTTGACGGCGAGTGAGTGTGAGCAACGAGCTAGGGATTTGATCCACGAGCGTAGAGCTGATGTACTGGCGCGAGTGACCTTCCAAACCTCGATTACCTATGATGTGATGATATGGTCTCATGGTTATATGCGCGCGGAGCACTACCACGATGAGACGGTAGAGGAGACTAGAGCGAGGGTGAGACGGTGAGCTAGAGAAAGATGTGGACTGAGTATGGAAGAGGAGAGTGAGGCAGTCAGAAGAGTGAGAAAGCGCGTTAAAGAACCACTCTTGAACCAGGTAAAGAAGTTGGGGGACAAGTTAAGGGAGATCTGGTCGTGTCAAGACGAGGGCAAGTTGCGAAGGGCTGAACTCGTGACAAGAGAGTTAGACAATCTGTTTAGGGAAGAAAGAGAGATTATCCAGGCGTGGAGATCAGACTTTCTGAAGAGGGTAAAGGCTAGAAGCGTATCACGCGGAGGAACTAGTAAGCGATCTGCAGAAAGCGAGACAACGGAAGACAAAGTTACGCAGGGGAGTAGCGACGGGGCATGAGCGGAACTGCACTACACACGACGGATTGGTACTCATTACATGTGGTAGGGAGACTGGATGGACCATCAGTGTTAGTGATCATAGAACTCCAGCTCCATACCAGACTGTGCATAGTTGAGGAGACAGAGTGTTTCCGCCGTGCCTTGCGTGAGGCAAGGGGGACAGGGCTTTGGATTGGAATAGAAGGAGGACGGAGGATAAAATACGTACTCCGAGTAACACCCTTCGAAGGGCGGTCTCGGATAAGGGCATGGTATGAGACGACCAGAGAGGCTGAGAGGTTAAAGATAAGCGAAGCCAGGAA